GTGAAGTCAGCAGTCTTGAAAGAGATCAGGCAGAGCAAGGGTGGCGAAGCCAAAGGCAAGAGACAGCTCAAGGTTGTGGCAGATCATCAGCAAGAAAACAAAATGAGGGATCAGTAATGTCAAAGTGTAGAGATGATCACAAAAGGAACAGAGTGGAGAGGATGGGATGAGGGAAATGGAAGTCATTCAGCCAATGGCTATTGCTGTAACAAAAGGCTCCAGCTTTTCCCTCCCTCCCTCCCTCCCTCCCTCCCTTCCTTCCTTCCTTCCTTCCTTCTTTTTTTTTCCCCATCCTTATATTCCCAGGCATCTTCCCATCCCTTAAATTTCTCCATACCCTGGAATTTAAGTTACTAACCCCTCACATGCCCTGGTCAGTTCTGCTTCCCTGCCTCTCATAATACCCTTGTTCATCCCTGGCTTCCTTTCCCCTGTCAGTTTCAAACACATTGTCCTTTCAAAGCTTCATCGCCAAGCCCTACCTCTGTCAACTCCTACCTCTGTCATTCAGCCCGAGTTAACTACTCCAGCCCCCATTATTTTTTTTTCCCTCTCTCACAGCTTTATATAACAGAATATGGCACATGTGTCATGGGAGGGGGCAGTCAGAAGGTGATTCCCTTCTCGTCTGTAAGCTTTAAAAGGAAGGAACTGTGTCTTACAGAAACTGCATGGTACAGGAGAGCATTTGGGGATAAGGAAAAATAAGCTGGTGTTCAAGCTGGTTCTGCGACCTTAGCATAGACCTCTCTCTAGGCTTTAGTGACCTTCTGTGAAAAACAGGGAAAATGATTCCATGCTCTGGCTTCCTTACATAGAGCATGAAATGTTTAGGTCAAGTTCATAAGCAGTAGTATTTTTTTTTTTAGCTGAGCCATCCTGCTACCTGTTGGCAGCTCAGCGGCTGCTCAGCTCGGGCTGGACTCGAACTGCTGTTGCTCAGAGCTCAAACTCTTGAGCGAGCTCTTAACCAACTGAGCCACTCGGCCAGCCCAGCAGTAGTATTTTTTAACCTCTGAAACACTCTAAGAAAGTGAGGGGTTATTGTAAAAGGGGCCATCATGTTGTAAAAAAGGCAAGGGAATTTGGGGGTCTGAATTTTGAGTTAGATTTTAATTCCTGCTCTTCCACTTACTCCACATAGGACCTTAGAAAAGTTTCTTACTTCTCTATAAAAGTAGAGGGACACTCTTACAGGGATTACTAGTGCTACAGTTGGTTTATACACCAATTTGTGAGAGCCAATTATTAAATATTTAGAAACTTTGCATGCAGATTGTTAAACTGTTATTAACTTGAAATCTGCCATGGTGGGAGTATTTATACCAGGGAAATCAGCAAATACTACAAATTGAATTGTTGGGTTTTTTTGTTGTTTTTATTCTTTTTTTTCTGGAGAACTGGTTCACCAGCACATCACTGATTATGTAAATTAAAATAAATAGTAAAGCTCTTTGTCTTAATTATCATTAAAAGTAGTAATGGCAGGGGCATCCAGTTAGCTCAGGTGGTTAGAGCACAGGCTCATAACACCACATGAGCCAAGGAGCTGCGCCCTCCACAACTAGATTGAAACAACTACTTGACTTGGAGCTGATGGGTCCTGGAAAAAGACACTGTTCCCCAATAACATTTCTTTAAAAAAAACAAGTAGTAATGGCAGCAGTAATGTTCTGTATCCATAGAACCTCGCCTAGTGCATGGCATATCCCTAGCATATCTGTGTAATAAGTGCATTTTTAATTTAACTTGAGGTCACCCTTTTATTATTTTGATACTTGAGCCCCTGAGCTAAAAGAGCACCTATCTTTACCTCTCTTCAAATCCCTTTCTACAAAGTGTCCTTTTATTATTTATTTACTTATCAACTAAATTTATTGGGATAACATTGGTTAATAACATTATATAAATTTCAGGTGTACAACATTATAATACGACATCTGTATACTCAATTGTGTGTTCACTACCTGAAGTCTAGTTTCCTTCTGTTACCATATATTTGACCCCCTTTACCCTCTTTGTATTCCCCTAACCCTATTCCCTTCTGGTAACCACCATTCTGTTGTCTGTAGCTATAAGTTTGTTTTTGTGTGTTTGTTCATGTGTTGCTTTTTGTTTTATATCCCACAATGAGTGAAATCATATGGTTCTTGTCCTTTTCTGTCCGACTTATTTTGCCTTTTTAAAATCAGATAACAAAAGTAAAAGCCTGGTTCAGTGCATGACACCCTCTATGTCTATAACTGAGCTAATTACCTTCTTTCCAAATCCTCTTTTCTTCTGAGACTTCACATCTCTGTTAGTGCCATTGCCCATTTATCCATTATCCCACGTAGATTACCTGACAGTTATTTGCCTCCTCGCCCTGTTCCTTACCCAGCCCTATGTCTCATCGATCGCTAGAGCTTCCCAGTTCTACCTTTTCAATCCACCCCCTCCTCTTCTTTGCCATTCCTACTGCTTTGATGCAGGCCCTCATCATTTCTTACTTGGACTCTTCCTCCTAACTGATATCTTGACCTTGAGTCTTTCCCCTTCATTCCAACCTCTACTTCTACAACAGATGTGATTTTAAATTACAAATCTGACCAAATCATTCCTTCACTTAAAATTCCTTAACAGCTCTCTGTTTTCTTGAGGATAAAATCCAAAAGCTTTAGCTTGTCATACAGGTCCACCATATCCTGACCTTTGCCCACATTTTATAAGAGTTATCTCCTGCTGCTCCCCAATACTGCCTGGGATGCCTAGTCTCACTTTCCTAGTGACCCCTGGTTCACCTCCCAACCTAAACAAAATTTCCTCTGTGGCACCTCTAGACATATTTGATAGTTATTTTTCTGAGTCCTATAGCATGCTGTACGTATCTGTGTGCCATATCTAACTATATGGCTGTTATTGTCTATTGGTCTTTCCCTCTACATTATAAATTCCTAAAGAGTAGGAACCTATGTGCCACTCACTAATGCCTAACACATTGTATAGCATGTAATAGGAGCTCAATAAATGTTTAAATGAATGAATGAAAGTTCAAAGGATAAATTATTTTCATTGGTTTACTCACACAAACTATTCATAGGATATGGAAGTAAAAAAAATGGGCTTAAAATTTGGGTCTCAGTAGTGAAGATAAGAAAATAATAAAATAAGGATGGCTTATTTTTATCTGTAGCGCCCCATGTAGGATACTATGACTCCTTACCACCTTCAGGATAAAATCCAAACCTCTTAGCCTAGCTTGCATACAGAGCTTCTTACAGTCTAGCCCCCGGCTTAATCCCCATTCTCACCTTTCTCTATACACACACATAAAATGTACATTCTAGCCACTTAGGTTTCTCACCTGTTCCATAGTCTTTCATGCCTCCATGGCCTCATCCCTACTTTCCCCACACCTGTAGTACCCTCTCCCCCTTCTTTCACTCACTCCTTTCCTGCCTGCCTGATGAATTTCTATACTTACTTCAAACTGATCCACAGTAACCACCTTTAGGCAGCTGTCCCTAACACTATCCCTCCCTCTTCTGTGCTCCCAGAGCATTTGGTTGATTCATTGTAAGCACTGCACTGTCAGTCTTTGTTGGTCTGTCCTTTGCCCCCTCTGCAAAGCGAGATCATCCTTATACCCTGGCCTCTAACATATTCTAGATGCTAATGCAGTGTGGAGGAAAAAAAGGACTGTTCTCTAGGGATGTGCAAAAAAAAGGTAAGTTTCTGATAAGAGACCCATGTTGAATACATTTACGATTGACATTGTATGATCTGGCCAATCTAGAATAACTAATTCCGTGTCTTATTTTCAGAGGTACGGTTACCCTGAGAAATCAGTGCTAATGGACAGATCAGAAAAATGAAAAGGTTAAAGAGCTGGAGCTTAGTTATGTTGCCCCTGATTTGATGTAGTACAGTAAAAATACATGTTATATCTTAGGAATTTGTCCTGTCATATCACAAGACCTTTAGCTACATGAATTAATGAATGCCTTAGAAAGTAATGCAGTGTGCCAGGGGATAAGACACACTAAAGCAACGAGAAAAGATGAGCAGTGACTTATAATAACAGAGGATATAGTTTCTGGTAAAAATATATTTATCAGAACACTTAATTTCCCTTTAGGTAGGGAAATAATTTTTTATTTCTGATTATAAACATAATACATATCATTTATATACTGATATATATATATATATATATATATATATATATATATATATATATCTTAGTCTGTTAAGGCTGCTGTAACAAAAATACCATACATAGACTAGATGGCTCAAACAATAAACATTTACTTCTCACTGTCCTGGAGGCTGGGACATCCAAAATCAAGGTGCTGGCAGATTTTATATCTGGTTAGGGCCTGCTTCCTGGGTCACAGACAGCCACCTTCTCACTGTGTCCTCACTTGGCAGAAGAGGCAAGGGAGCTCTGTGGGGCCCCTTTTATAAGGGCACTAATCCCTTTCATGGGGGCTTCACCCTCATGCCCTGAGCACCTTCCAAAGGCCCCACCTCCAAATACCATCACAACGGGGATTAGGTTTCAACATGAATTTGGAGAATGGTTAGGGAACACAGATATTTAGTCTATAGCAATATATGAATGTAGAATGCTTGGAATATCTTGAAAAGCACAACAATATAAACCCCTCCCAAATATAACCACCTAGACTTAACTACCATTAATTCTGTAGATAAATCCTTCCAGTCTTTTTTCTTGTATATATGTTTGTGTGTTCTTTTAAACAAAAAATTTTAAAAGTTTGTGTTGTATATATTGTTCTAACCAGTTTTTTTTATATTAACACGTCATGAACATTTTCTCATGTGAGTAAATACTCTTCTATAACATGAATTTTAATTGCTGCACAGCATTCCATCATGTAGCTATATACCACTGTTTAATCCCCATTGTTTCAATGTTTTTATTATTATAAACAGAAGCGTAGTAGTGTGGATAGCTAAAGAAAGGGTGATCTCATGTCCTCCTCCTGTTTCCCCAGGTTTTGGAGCCCTCTCTTACATCAGAGCTCTATTCACATAGCCCTCTGAGTGTCATCTCAGGACCTTGGGCACACTCATGGCACGATGGCCGACCCTCAGGAGTACCGGAGCTGCTCCTCTTCCCCACACTTACCCTTGAGTGAAAACAAAACCTCCAATGGACTACAAGATGAACTTGCACCAATTGGGAGCCACCCTTCACCCAAGCTCCTTAAGGACCAGCAGGAAAAAGGGGTGGTGCAAACAGAGCTAACTGAGGCCATGAACAGCCCCATCACCACAACTGTGTTGACAAGCGTAAGCGAGGATTCCAGGGACCAGTTTGAGAACAGCGTCCTTCAGCTAAGGGAGCAGGATGAATCAGAGATGGCCGTGTCTCAGGGGAACAGCAACACTGTGGATGGAGGGAGCATGAGTGGAACTGAAGACATCAAGATTCAGTTCAGCAGGTCGGGCAGCGGCAGTGGCGGGTTTCTTGAAGGACTATTTGGATGCTTAAGGCCCGTGTGGAATATCATTGGGAAGGCGTATTCCACTGACTACAAATTACAGCAGCAAGGTAAGCTAGAGTATGGACCTAGAAGATAACTTCCTGTGTAAACACACCACCATATTAACTGGATAACCTTTGATCTGTGGATAAATGAAAGAACTAGTGCTCTATAATTACCCCATATCAATTTCCCATAGAACTTCTGAATGGCACAGATTTATAGCTAGTTGGTATTTTTTAGTTGAAACCCATCTTTTGTGGTTGTCTAGTCCAGTGGTATCCATAGTAGAGCACACATAAGACAATCCATTATGTCATGAAAAAAAAAGTTTTAGAGCGCCTGTTCCTTTTATCTCATCATTTCAAATTTCTGTTTGTAGTCATGTTTTCATATATTTTTGGTATTTTAATAAAGTCGTACAGATATATAATTTATAAATAAATCACATAATGTTTGCATGTTTAAATTTTTTTAATTGAAGATTATACAATCAAAAAGTCTGATAGCCACTGGACTAATTCAACCCAGAGAAAAGCTCTGTGGGGCTGCCCCTCAAGACCGCAGGCCTGCCTTAGGTTGTAGTAAAAAGAATTTTTTTTTCTCACAATCAAGGCCCAGAAAGCTCACATTTTGAGGAAAGGCAAAATATCTAACCATTCTTAGGAAGCATTATTATTTCTAGATCCCACAATTTTTTAGAAGGCAAATTTTTTACTCCCATCATTGCATGTATATTTATATATTCCAATTCAAGCATGATTTTGAAGTAAAGTAAGCACGTAGCCCTAGTGGTCTTTATAACCTCATTTGTGTTGTTTAAAATAGCTTTTTTCCCTTATAACAAAAGTAATATATGTAGAAAATTTGGAACACACAGGTAAGTTCCCCCAAAAAAGTTAAAATAATATATGATCACCATTCTCCTGAGAATAACCAGCATTAATATTTTTGGTATTCTGTTAGTCTATTTGTGTGTGTATGTGTGCCTTAAAATAATAAAGTCGTACTGTTTTTCACTTCATCTTGTCAACATTTCCCATATCATGAAATATCCTTCTTTAGCATCATTTTTAATGGCTACATAATATTAAATTGTGTGAACATGCCAATATTTAAGCAATCCTCTATTGCTTGACAATTTGTTTGCTATTTTTAGTGATTATAAGCCACATTGCAATGAACATCTGTCTATTACTTAATTTCTGCTTGTATCTTTGATTACTCCTTAGGATAAATTCCTAGAAGAGGAATGGTTGGGTTCAAAGGGTTTGTTGCTTTTAAGGCTTTTGATACATATCTTTATAACCTTGTATAAATGAGTTGGTTGTTATAAGTTCTCTCATTAAGACATTTCGGAAAAGAAATACATGGACCAGAAATAAGATTGTTCTATTTATTTTATAACTGAATGTTGGACTCTGTGGTCCTCCCTTAAAAATATATTTATCTCTTTTAGTCAACTGTTGACAGCTTTTGCACAACAACCAGTTGACATTACTCACCATGAACCACTTCTCTCATGCATTCTACTTTTCCCATTTATGAAATATTTTCTCCTAAACGAATACCAACTTCTTCCTCTACACACCTCTCCCATAAGGATATTGGGATTTACTAGTAAATCTATCAATTCTGGGTGAACTTTTCAGGATTTGTCAACTACAGCATCAATTCCTGCTCCATGCAGAAATTCTTTGTCAGTCCTTGAATTTTCTCTCTCTCTCTCTCTCTCTCTCTCTCCCCCCATCTTTCATTCGTACTCACATACTATCATACTATGCACATTCTTCCCCTTCCCCCTCTCCATGATCTTAAGGTTTCAAGGAAATTAAAAGACCATTCCTTTTACACAAATGTTGGGGACTCATGTAAAACAGTATTTTTTTTATTTTTTTATTTTTTTTAAGATTTTTATTGGGGAATTGAGGGGATGGGAACAGCGCCGGGGAATTGGGGGAAGGGGAACAGACAAGTTGCTGTCGTTTTGTTCTTCAGTCTAGTTGTGGAGGACGTTGCTTCACTGGCCCAAGTTGGCACCATCATTGCGCTCTTCCCGGGNGAGGCACATCAGTCGCCGGCTTCTGGACGGCCGCTCACTGCGGCTGCTGGCCGCTCACGCTGGCTGCTGGCTACACACGGTAGCCCATGGCAACCCACTGCCACAAGGGCTGCAGCCCACGCCGTCGCCGGCGACTCATGGCAGCCCAGCTCCAGGTTGAGCTGTTGTTCAGCATCTTAGCTGTGGAGGGCAGTGTCACTGGCCCTCATATGTGGGATCCGACCCGGGGCCCTCTGGCATCCCAAGCCAGTTCTTAACCATCTCGCCACTCGGCCGGCCCAGTATTATTATTTTTTAAATTGGGAATAAAGATAAGCACAATGAGGAAAATAAAAATGACTTGTCATTCCACAATCCAGATATAACCACTCTTATTATTTTTTAAAAGTTTCTTCTTGGGGCTGGCTGAGTGGCTCAGTTGGTTAAGAGCTCGCTCAAGAGTGCAAGCTCTGAGCAACAGCGGTTTGAGTCCCAGCCCCAGCTGAGCTGCCAGGATGGCTCAGCTTAAAAAAAAAAAAGTTTCTTCTCCTACAAATATCTGCTTATGTGATAAACTATGTTTGGTTTTTAGGATCTTAACTTGTCCAGTTTCATAATTATTTTGGTGGTAATTAGGAGGTCTCAGGATCTAAATGCAATGTTGAGGTTCAGATTCATAAAATATAACAGACACATTCTTTGGTTGTGAAAAGGATCCTTTAAATTTTTCTTATTGTTCTATAAACTTGTATTTATTTTTTCTTCCAGTTGATTATGTGACTTTCAGAAAGGCTTATTTCAGAAATAAATAACAAACAGGCCTCGTCAGCTTAAGTTTACAAGGGCACAGCAGCTGCCTAACTCTTCAACAGATGACAAGATATCCTACTGTGGGCTGGTATTGCTGTGGGCTGTAAAAGAGATTTGCTAGGCAGAAACTACGTGTAGTTTTTTCCTTGTCAGCTCTGGGATTAGGGAGCTAATCTTTAATTCTGGATTACAGTCAATCAAAGCATAGCACATATAAGAGATATGTCCCTCCCTGCGTTTTGGTACTTAGGCGGAAATTTCACTAGATTTTTTAAGATTTTCATGATGTCTTCATCTCCCATTTAGTATGTTGGTAGTGAAGTCCAAGTAAGATAGTACTACTATGTGTAATTGAAAGTTTTTATTTCCAAATAGTTTCCAGTCTCAAAGCAAGTGTTGTCAAAGACATGTCTGAATAAACAAAGGAGAACTTATGAATTAAAGTGGGTGGGCATGTGGCTTTTTCTCAGTCTTAGGGATCATGGCGGATGTTGGAATTAAGGTAGTAGTCACAGTGATGAATCAGAGAGAAGATAAAAGCTGGGAAGAGCACCAATGGGACAGACGTAAAAGCAGCAGAAAGCCTGGGACTAACCCAGAGGGCACAGCCAATTCCCATTGTTACGAGGTAGTCATCTCACTTGTCAATAATCTAGGCCCCCAATTTTTCTCATCCTTGTTGCTAATGTGTATTTTTTTTTTCCCTGCCATTTCCTGTTCCTTGACTCCCTGCTAGATATTGACAGGGACATTGGGATAGGACAAGAGGACTAAATCACATGTGTCAACTTTCCTTCTGGTAATCAGTCTAGTAAAAAGATTGATACAAAGGTGGTTGAAGTATTACTTTATATTACACTCTGTGTTCTTGAATTACCAATGCGATCCCCTTTATTTTTCCATGGATAATTAAGACTTTGCTGAATAACCCAGGCATAAGCCATTCCTTAATATTAATATCCTCAGACTTTGGTATTTAAGTGCCAAATGTGCTTATCATTTGTATTTTAATAATTCATTTATTTCTCATTTTATAAAAATATGAAATAATAGGCATTATTTATTTAAAATATAGTAAATTACAATGTAAGCATAAAATGATATAAAAAGGGTTATTTAACAAATTGTGTTAGAATCACTAAATAGCAATATGGAAAAAGATTAACTTACATCAGCCCTCACACCACATACCAAAATAAACTCCAGATGAATGTAAAGGTTAAACCTTTAAAAAGTGAACTACAGATCACTCTTAGAAGACAGAGGAGGCAGTAGAAGAAATTACAAAGGAAATGACAGGGAACTACAAAAATATTTGGTTAAAAAAGTAATAAAATTAAAAGGCTTTTTAAAAGTATTCTTTTTATATTTTCAAAGAAATAGAGAGGAAGCTCCTTCAAGTTTATGAGAACTATAAGACCCTAATAGATAAATGGATAAAGGATAAATTTGACAATTCATACAAAGTAGATGTATTAAACAAATACATTGATCATGTAAAGAAAATATTCTACATTGTTGGCAATTAAAGTAGTACAAACTCATAAAATACTATTTTATACCTAATTAAATTAGCACCAGAAAATAATTGGCAATATTCATTGCTGGCAAAGTCGTAGTAAAAGGGATACACTCGCATTACTGCTGTCAGCAAAAACCAGCAAAATCCTTTTGGATAGCAATTTGGAATGTATACCAAGAGCCAGGAAACTGTACTCTTTAACCTAAGGATTGAGTCTGAGGAAATAATATAAAGAAGAAAAAAGTATTTTAATTTCAAATTTAAATTAGCAAACAAAAAGATGGAAACACTTAAGTACCAAAAAAGATATGCAAGTACAGTAAACAACTATTAGAGCTTATAATAAAAACTATATAATATATAAATACATGGGGAATACATAATACATGAAAAAGAAAAAATTATGCATCACAAAGAATCTTTACATAGCTGTGTACATATGAGCAAAGACTAGGAGAGAAGATTAAAACTGAGTATGGGATGGGATATAAGATAAAATACACATTTTTCTGTTTTTTTGATATTTTCTAATGTTTCTAATATTTAACAGAAAATAAACATTGAGTAAATAGGGGGAGAAAGACACCCAATGACTGTCTAATTTTAATTGTTATTGTATTAAATATTAGGGTAACTTGGGCTTTTATAAAGTTATTCAGTACTCAGTTGTGTTCTTGCCCCCATCCTATAATAATAGTACGTTAGTCCACCCCCAGAATGGTCAAAATCACACTGTGTTTAGTTCTTCACTGGACCTCTAAATAGTAAAACTCTCTAACAGTATGCCATCAATATCTGCATCCTGTGTGTGCTGCATAAATAAGCCTATGGGGACAAAATTGAGACTGCTTAAGATACTTAATACCTGTCAATCATTAGAATCCATACAGATATTGAAAGAGTCAAGCCTATAACTTACTGCTTCCTCCCAAATCTCACTTGGTATCTTTTGTTGCTTTGGTGATTTCATATTTGTGAGCTATTTTTATTTTAGAGAGATCTTCTTTTAGGTAGCAGCTACTCAATTTCAATAGAGCACAAAACTTGAATACTGCTGCTATCAGAAGAACGGGATGAATGCCTGTGATATAAACCACCTCCACTGTACGTTTTTCTGCTTGATGTATTGGGTCGTCGGGACAGTCATGACGTATTTTTCTATGTTTTTCAATGCAAAAATGCATCATGACTTTCCCAGTGACCCAATATTTTGAAAATCATATTTTAACCATTATAATGAGAAGCCACATTTTATTGAGAATCTATAGAATTTCATTTCTCTTAAGGCAGAGAAAACTAGAGAAGAGGGCAATGCAGTTCCCTTCTAGATACTGATGAATTCTCTCTGCTCTTGCTTCACATGGTAGATGGTGAGTTGATTTGCCTTCAGGACCAGAATATCTTCAAAGCTAACTCAACGCTACCTTGTTCAGTGTTCTACAAATAGTGGCCTTTTAGTGATCAGTGATCCGACAAGAATCTGTCATAACCTTTAACATTGTCATCATCCTCTCCTCGCTCCGTGGGGCTCCTAGTTCTTTGATGTTCATTTCTTGCCAGGCAGAGAGAAAGCACTGGCAAAAAGTGGGACAAGACAGATCAATGGGTTATATTCTTCTTTTTAAGTTTCACAACATGAAAGCACATATTGATTGAATTTTTGAAGTGCTTTATTTTAAATAGCATCTTATTCATTATCAAAGTCAAATGTACTTATGGTTAAATTTTTTTAATACAAAAAAGGATAAAGAACATAATGTGAATCACCAATAATACCACCAATTAGAAATGAGCCCTGTTACATTTTTGCTGAAAAAAACAAAAATCAAACTCTAAAAAAAAGAGAAACTCGAAAATATTGTATCTATATGAGTAAATATCATCACTAATGACCCTCTCAGTTACTTCATGAGAGGAAATGTGGTTTAGTGGAGAAAGCACTGTCCCTGGAATCAGCCAGTTCTGGAGTTCAGGGCCCAGTCCTGCCGCTTACCAGCTACATGACCTTGGGTAACTAGCTTACCCACCCTTCCCTTAGTTTTCTCATCTTGAAATAACCATAATAAGACCAAACTTGTAGGATTGCTGTAAGGATTAAGCACATGAGACATGTAAAGCACTATGCTAGTATCTGGAATATAGTAAATACTAAATAAAAGATAAATACCAATATAAGTTTATATTATAGATTTTATGAGAGTATCATTGACAATTCACTCAGCAAGGATTAACTGAGCATCTGGCTAGAAATTCAAAGACGAATACATGACACCTATAATGGGTAAGGAAGTAGGGACAGTGGTGTCGAGACGTTAGGGTGAATTGACTAAACATGAAGACTTGAGATGAGGAGGTGGGAGTGTCAGAATATGTTTTGTTTGGAGGAGAGTATATTGGAGATCTCTGATCCGCTTGATTTCACTGGCTAAAAGTTGATACAAAGTTATACATGGGAATATCTGATCTATAGTATCAAGGCCCGTAGAAAGGTTATATTTTTTGGTGAGTTATCAGATGTGAAACAAAGGGTAGAGGTCATTTTGGGTGATGGTGAAGTTGGCATCCTTGGAGTGGCTTTGTAGAATGGTCCCTGCGCAAATTCCAAGATCTTTTTAAGCCTGTTTCTCACTTGTGTGCCTAGATACTTGGGAAGTGCCATTTGAGGAGATCTCAGAGCTGCAGTGGCTGGGTAGTGGAGCCCAAGGAGCTGTCTTCCTGGGCAAGTTCCGAGCGGAGGAGGTGGCCATCAAGAAAGTAAGAGAACAGAATGAGACGGATATCAAGCATTTGAGGAAGTTGAAGCACCCTAACATCATCGCTTTCAAGTAGGTCAAGGCTTTTCTTTTTTTTTTTTAAGAAATAGATTTTCTTTTCCCAAACATATAAGCTCCTGCTTTAAAAAGGCATGTTAAGAACATTCTATAGACTAAGCACTGTGTTAGGTGCTGTGGAAGGGCACCAAAGAACTATTGAATTAGAGCCATGTCTGTAAGGAGCTTATAATCCAGTAGTTCTTTTTGCCAGAGGATGCCCTGCTTGGAAGAGATGGAGAAGGGACAGAGGGAGAAGGTGGATTCCTGCCAAGCAGTCAGATCTGCTAAGTCAACCTTGATCAATAAGATGACAGAGGTCACTTTCAGATAAACTAAATGTGCTAAAATTCAGTTAAGAAAACAAAGCTAACATCTAGGTGATCAGAGAACAATTAGTCCCTGTGTAATAGATATGGTTTTTATTAGTTTATATCAGTGTCCCTTCTTAAATATTAATTTGTAATAACAGGTACCTTCAGAGTATTTCTCCCTGCCTCAGGTTTTGCTAGATCCCTTTTCAAGTGATGCCAAACACTCAGCTTTCTAAATCTAGTGATAGTAGAGTTATTGATCATAGTAAAGTATGTGCTATTTTCATTTCACAAAGTAGTTGTTTTCAAGATCTTGATAGTTTAAGGCTATTACTTTCTTTTTTTTTTTTTTTTAGCTGAGCCGTCCTGCCACCTGTTGGCAGCTCAGCCGCAGCTCAGCTCGGACCGGGAATCAAACCGGCAACCCTGTTGCTCAGAGTTCACACTCTTGAGTGAGCTCTTAACCAACTGAGCCACTCAGCTGGCCCAAGGCTATTACTTTCATAATATTGGCAGGAATCCCTAGCAAAAGTGGGAGGCTCAAAGGTAAATTTGTGGAAAATCACCAAATTTGGCAGTGCTGAGCTCTTTATATGTGTAATCTCTTCTGCCTGTACCTTTCCCTTGCATTTCCTCTCTTATCAGCCTTCAAATGTTGCCTTAGGCTTGAACAAATGAATGGTGAGTAGCTTTAGAGGAGGGAAGGTAAAGAACAGGAAAAGTAGCGTTAGGTGGTTGACAGTTTACAAACTAGAACTTCTTAGTACACACACACACACACACACAGGGTGCCAAAAAAAATTGTATACACATTTTAAGAAAGGAAAAAACTGTATTGAAAATATACTGATGGTAACCACATTGAGCACCTCTTGTAATTGCAAAAGTCAAACATGACTTGTATTCATATTTTGTTATTGGAATATATTGAGTATTACAATTTTAAAACAGTTTTTTCTGAGTTAAGGCTGAGTTAAGATTTTCAAAGGCCTGTTAAGGAAAGGAAAGGGAGGGGGTGTAAAAAGAAGAGAAGCATTTCCGGGGAAAGAGTATCCACGCAGGGCATGGGAGAGCGCTTCAGCTGCCGTAGCGATTCTATCACTGGTTGCCCTGCAAGGGCCAAGAGGATGTGAGATCTAAACAAAGGGCTCCAGAAACCAATTCTCATCTGTCCAAAGATTATCATTTGAAAAGACAATAGGAGGATTATGTTAAAGCATATTATCGGAGACTCACTTCTTTCTTTCCTTTTACTTCCCAGAGAGGATGTCACTCCTAGTATGCTACACCATCCTAAATGGAAGGAAGGCCTTCCATTTAACTTTTAAGCTTAGATCGCTAGGATGCTGGGTTTGAAACACAGAATATTCTATAGATTAGCATGGCCTTTTGGCCCTCCTGAAGTGAAATAGGCTGTGTGCCCCAGGTAAGAGGGCTTCCCAGGCAGAAGTGTGTCCTAAGAGGATAAGTGTGTGAATCTTTACTTTTCCTTCCTTTCTTTTGCTTCTTCCTTTCTCTTCACAGTCTTTCCCCCCACCTCACCCTCTGACCCTCCTTCTTGCATATGCAGTTTTCAGCATTTTGGACAAATGTTGCCATGCTGGTGCCCAACTATTTAGGCTGAAGATGCTTGAATAGTCTTTACCTCTACATGGAAAACAATAGCGAGACTGTGTCCCTGGCCTATTGCACCATGCTCTTGAGGCATTGTGCTGTGTTGTGTTATGTTTGCAGCCATCTGTGCCATGTGTTGCCTGGCCAATGAATCATTCAGGACCGTCTGGAAGATATGAAGTCAAGATTAGATTTTAGTACGTCTCTCTGGATACCGGTTTCTGTGCTTACAGCTTCTTTTGAAGTTAGTAAGAATGATGTGCAGAAGGGAAAGTGCAAGGAAAGAATACTATATTTTTTTCTTCCAATTTTTAAAGCAGCCTTTTAAGAAAACCCAACCTGACTGTTCCTAATGGAACTGAGTGCCAAGGGAAGAAAAGGTAGCAATTAGAAGTGATTATAGAGCTGTTATTTATAGCTACTAAGAAGCCTTGTCATAGTACAGGACTGATGGAGTGATGGCTCCTCATTCGTCAGTCAGGAAAGATGAAAAGCGCATAAGATGTTACTGTTAGCCCCTTTTGGGCCATGTTTGTGTGAGAAGTTAAAACCTAGTTGAATAGGATACCGAATAGCTTCAAACAAATCTTTATTTTGATATTTTTAAACATATTATAGTATTCCTGCCTTACCATTTCTCTGTAATGAAAATTAAATTATCTGTGTGTAGTTGCTGTGCAATCTTGCTCCACTGAGGTTTCCTAAAAGTCAAGAAACTTGAAGAAAGATCTTTCATTAAAAATCAAGATAAGAATTCTGGGTAGCTTAGAAAACGATGGAGAGTAATAGAAATAGTTTTGTGGCATTTGACAGGCACATCAAAGCAGGGAAAATGAAGACTATTAATTTCTTCATAACCCGCTATTGTTATAAGATTTTCACGTGATCACAAACCATGGTCTCTAAATCCTTTCATTGTTTATGGCAGCCTAAAAGATAGGATATGAATTGGTAGCTGGCTGAGGACTTTAGCTTGGGTAAGCTATAGGTAGACTATTCCCAATAACTTCTCTAGAACGTTTTAAAGGAAGGCATACATACCATTAAGGGACGGGACACAGAGAATTGCATATGATACATCGTCTTCTCTTTTCTCATCCTCAGAACAAAGTTGTGATTTAGAATTAATATGATTATCCCCACTTTTATAAGGTAACAATATTAATATAGGGATCCCCAATATGCTTGTTTATACAGAAGTTGAAAAGGTAAAAGGAGGCTTGTACGGCAGTGAGTGGAAAGAGCATGGCTTTGAAGTCAGACAGACTGGATTTGACAGACAGACCCCAGCTCCATCACTTATTAGTTGTCTGATCTAGGACAAGTCACTGTCTCTCTCTGATCCTTACCTGTAAAAATGGAACAGGTGGGCCGGCCAAGTGGCTCAGTTGGTTAAGAGCTTGCTCAAGAGTGCAAACTCTGAGCAATAGGGTCGCCGGTTCAATTCACGGCCTGAGCTGAGCTGCCGCTGAGCTGCCAACAGGTGGCAGGATGGCTCAGCTTAAAAAAATAAATAAATAAAAATGGAACAGGTAATATCTATCTTACAATGGTTTGGGACAGACTAAATAAAACAATTAAATAAACATGTACATATGCCTGACAAAAAAATATGCTCTCCCATGTCAGTGCCCTTCCTCCTACCCCTGGCCTCGGCACATGTTTGTGTGAGGGCTTTATCAGCAAAGAAGTTAAGGACTACTATATTTGTCAGGGACTTGCTGTGCATGGTTAGGCCTTGCGGTAGAGAGAAAAGAACTTGAATACCTTTTCCCTTCAGGGAGCCTGTAATCTATATCAGGGGAGAAAAATCACATATAAAAAAAACGAATGGCTCCTATGTATTGTAGCATAGAAATTCAGAGAAGACAAAGGTCTTTTTGGACTGGAAAGGTCAGGAAAGGCTTCATGGAAGATGTAGGAAGCGATGGACATCCAGGCTGCATAGATGTATACTACATTGTGTAATGTTATTTTTATTCTAAACAGAAATAGCTTTCAAAGACTAAATAATATAGAAAATTCTTTTTTTGGTCCTCATTCTAGTTAGTTGTCTTAAATTTGAGTAATTTAATATCTAACAAATAATAGTAAAAATAGCAATATTTTATTTGAATTCTCTATTTCTGCACACTATGTATAAAACCCTCCATTTAATTTTAAAAGGGTGATATTTAAATTATTCTTAGCTATCTAAAACAACACAATACCCAGCCCAAACAAAACCGCAGAAAAAGGGTGCTCTTTGTCCCAGAATGGGATGTTCCCACAGAAAAAGCACCGGATATAACACAGCATATAGATACCTGGAGTGACAAACTAAAATTGTCTGTATGCATAATAGAGAAACCTGTAGACTAGAGGTGATTTCATGCTAATTTAAGAATCAGGAAAGATTATCTACATACTTTTTAAAAAGTAGTTTGGATAGAGAACTGGTCTTAGTGATTAAATGTATTAAATATTTCTAAAATATAAATATGTATACATGTATGTTTGTATCTATATATTTATGTACATGTTTGTGTTTTCTCGGAAGGGGTGTTTGTACGCAGGCCCCATGTTATTGCATCATCATGGAATACTGTGCCCATGGACAGCTCTACGAGGTTTTGCGAGCTGGCAGGAAGATCACACCACGATTGCTAGTAGACTGGTCCACAGGAATTGCAAGTGGCATGAATTATTTGCACCTTCATAAAATTATTCATCGTGACCTCAAATCACCTAAGTGAGTACTGGAGCCAATTTTTCAGCCATGTGGTTTTATTGCTTTGAAATAAGAAAATCTGTCAACCATAGTTGAAATTTTCAGATGTCATGCTTTTAAGTTCAGTTTAAATCAGCACACTGGGTAATTCTATTTGCATATCTTTTGGATTATTGTTGACTTACCTACTTATCTATATGGCAGATATGTCTAAGCACCTGACCCTTTTTGTTGCTTTTTAGCTGTATAATTGTGAAACAGAATTCATTATCATGAAAGTACTCACCTTACATCATCTTGAATAATTAACACCAAACTTCTTCACTTAAAGGCCTACCTGTTGTTTTCCTAGTATATTCCCAAAACACAGTTTTTTAAAAACTGAGTTTCAGAAATGTATACAATGGAATAAAAATGAATAAGAATGATTAAGAAGCAGAGGCAAAGAGGAAATAAAAACATTAGAACTAAAGCTTGTTCTCAAAATATTGGGTTGTCGGAAAAGTCATGATGCATTTTTGCAATGAAAAACATAGAAAAAATACGTCATGACTTTTCCGATAACCCAATATATACCATAAGAGTCTCTACAGTTAGAGGTGGACTACAAATTTGGCTTTGAGCTTCCTAGAGTCTAAGCAAAGAAAGAAAGAAATAGTTTTATGTTTCACAGTGTCTATGAGAAAAATACAAACTGGTTATTTAAGAGAAGCAGAGCTGTTTCTAGTAACCTCTGTTTTCACAATGATTCCTTGGCTGCCAATAACCACCTTAAGAGGAGTGTTTATTTCGTTCCCCAAATTGCACAAAGGAAAGAAAGGAATTGATAAAATGGTATATTTCAGTGTAACTCCTATTTTTCAACATTATTTTTATTTCATCACATTTTGGTTTAGAGGTGCAGAGAAGGATTCACCTTTTTTCAAAAGCATTAAAAAAAACATTAAAAAGCATAGTAATTTTATGGTTTACAACCTTTTTTATATCCATTATCACATCTGCTTTGATCTTAGCAAAAACTGTGTGGGATAGATATAACAAGTACATTCTTATTTTATATAAGAGAACCTAGGGCTCAGAGCCCAAAGCTGTGGAGTTTTAACAATATTTATTATAGCCATTAGCTCATTGAGCAACCTCCTTCTTGCTTTATTTGCAAATAACTTTCTTATATGGCGTTCATTCCTTCTGTTTACATTCTTCAATGAACCTGTTGCTTTTGTCATTCACTACATATACATAAAGTACCAAAAGCCTCTTTGAATGGTCTCCTTTTTTTAAAAAAAAGAGCTATGCTTTTATTATTTTTTTTTTAATTTTATTTTTATTTTTTTAAAGATTTTTATTGGGGAATTGGGGGAAGAGAAACAGACAAGTTGCTGTCCTTTTGTTCTCCAGTCTAGTTGTGGAGGATGTTGCTTCACTGGCCCAAGTTGGCACCATCATTGCGCTCTTCCTGGGTGAGGCAGTTGCTCGCGGGCCATTGGACGGCCGCTCCCGAAAGCGCACGCCAGCTGCGGGCCATCCCCACTGCAGCCTACGCCGTCACCGGCGACTCACAGCAGCCCAGCTCCAGGTTGAGCTGTTGTTCACCATCTTAGCTGTACAGGGCGCAGCATCACTGGCCCACATGTGGAATCCGAACCAGGGTCCTGCTGCTCAGAGCTGGCCTCCCAAGCCAACTCTTAACCAACACACCACTTGGCTGGCCCATATTACCTACATTAAATCTTTAGGCTGTGCGACCCCAACTTTGTCTCAGAGAAGTTTTCACAAAAGTTCCGACATTGTATCTTCTCTAGTCTCCTCCCATGTCCATCCCTCGTGTCACAACAACAGGTCCCATGATAAGCAGCACAAAGGAGGCAGCATGGGAAGTTTCCAGCATTCCCTGACCCTCAGGGGCTTACCGCCTTTTCTGACTTTCATGGTATATGCTGCCATCAATTCTCCAACTATTTCAGATATCCCATGACATTGTATCCTTGTGCATTTTCACCAAGACTAGTACCATTCATTCAACATTTCTAAATTCTGTGAACTTTACACATCAGGTGCACAACCAGGGGTTGGTGGATGAAGATATCCTAATGCAGTTGTAAGCACCGAGCTGTTTGGTAAAGAACTATGTATTTGAAAGTGGGTGGGAAGTGTGGCAAATGTGAAGTTCCTGGTTCAGAGAAGGGAGGCGATAGACTGAGAAGTTTCCTGTTTTCTAACGCCTTGATTCTTGTACTATTGGAGTCTTAAGCCTTCTTATTGTTAAAAATAGGTCCCTATATCATTAAGCCTCTGCAAACGTAACTCATGAACCTTCTAAAGTTCTAAAGAGGTTATTTCAAGTGAGCTCAGTGTAGTGTGTGAGGATGTTCATGTGTTGGATTTGACTGGTAGCAGATTGTACTCATGCTTAAGACTAGCAAAAGCAGTTTGCCCCGGGTCACAGTTCAGATAACTACCGTGAAAATTAAAACATGAGTTATTATATGTGGCATCTACTTAAGCTTAAATTCATTCCTGCTTTTCCTCATCAACATTAGTAGAATCCTCGGATACTTATTAGCCTTTTAATCTAACGAATCCCTAATATCATGATCCCATGCGTGATTTTAGTTGGCCATCATTTAAACAGTGTTTTAAAAGAGTGTTTTTCTCAGTGGGTTGTCTGAGACTGGCAAGGGTGGAAACCGATGTTTACTGAGCATGGGTGCTTTACTTATCTCATTTAATTCAAATGAAAATTCTACAAGGCCATTATTACAGGCCCATAATCCCTTATCCAAAACTCTGGAGTCAGATGATTTCAGAAAGGTAATCTAGTGCATTACCTTACACCTCCAGTGAAGACTGGGCTGCACCATCTAATCAGCCACGTTCATATGTCTGTAGCAAAACCTATGATAGTCACACAAAGTGGAATAAAGTGAGTTTGCTTTATGCATATGAAACATATGTATTCACTGTTTTCAGAGCTTTTTGCACTTTTGAATTGTGGATGAGAGAGCGTGACCTGAATTGTCTCCATCTTACAGATTGAGAACTGGCTTAGCAGAATTAAGTAAATTGGCAAAGATCACACTGTTAGCAAGTGATAATGGCAGGGTAAAACCAGGTGTAAAAGCTCACTAAGCTATGCCGCCTCACAAGGGTGAATGATGCTGTTTCTAGTGTATAGTTAGTGTCCTAGCAATGCTGGAACTCGTAAGCTGAATTCTACGAGGTAGGGGGCAGAAAACAAAGTCTTCAGTTGCCCATTTGAGTCATGTTTTTTCATTAGTACTAATGATCTGCATATTTTCTTTATTTCTTTTTGAAGTGTTTTAGTGACTCACACAGATGCAGTAAAAATTTCAGATTTTGGTACATCTAAGGAACTCAGCGATAAAAGCACCAAGATGTCCTTCGCTGGCACAGTGGCATGGATGGCGCCAGAGGTGATACGGAACGAACCTGTCTCTGAAAAAGTCGATATATGGTGAGCAACACCACCTGTGCCACCGGAAAGCCTTTTCTCACCTCCACCCTATTAGCACTTTCCTCCGTCGGCACGCCTACTTTCCCCAAATATCCTTTAGTGTTCCTCACTTCTGCTTGACTGTAGTTTCATATTAGCTGAGGCACTACCCAGTATGATGATATACGGTAAGAAGATTGGGAGAGGAATTCGGGTGACTATCTAATCAGTAAGTCATCAGTTTGGGGAACCCTCAGAGAATATGCTAAACTTTCTGTCTTACAGAAAGTTTACTTCAAAAAACCATTTAGTATAAAAGTCTTTTTGAAATGTATTACATAATTCTCACCTTCTTAAGTAAAATACATTAAACAAAGTTTACCTTTTTCTTGTTGACTCAGAACATCATTTCATATATATGTCATATATATGATATATTTGATATATATGATATTTATGAGATACATATATTTATACACTGATGCACTGATGTGACATAGTTATGTGCTTTAGACCTGTTTGATATATATAGGGCTGTTTGTCCTTTTATTAAACAGCCCCTATGGGCTATGCTTTTTTTTTTCTATTAAAAATATATTTTCCTGTAATTGCTTTTCTTCCATTCTTAAAATTGGCTCCTAATAGCTTTTAGACTTAAAACCAAACTAATAACATATATCAAAACTGCATGTAACACCAGAGTAAATAAGATAAAGTAGAAACGTGAGAGTCATTTGTAATTTGGGTAATTACTACCAACATGTCCTCCTTAGGGATTATACCAATTTATGTTCCCAACAGAAATGTTTAAGAATGTTTTCTCAGTCTCACCAACAAAATGTGTTAAACTTTTGGAATTTTGCCAACTATATAGGTTAAAAAAAAAAGGTATCTTAGGTGCAGTATTAATTCGCATCTCTCTTCTTGAAAGAAAGGTTATACCAAAAAAAAAAAAGAAAGATTGTACATTTTTTTCATGTTTACAAACCATTTGTAATTTCTTATTTGTGAACTATCCTTATCTTTTGCTGAACTTGCTGATCTTTATTCTTATCAATTTATAAGAGTATTTTATATATTCAGTAGCTTAGCCTTTTGTGTATATGAATTACAGATACTTTTCACAATTTGTTATTTTGCTTATGGTGGAGTTTTCTTTTCCATGCCAGATTTTTTTCTTAAATGTAGTTTAACTTGCCAATAATGTCTCATTTTATGGCTTCTGAATTTCATAATTAGAAAAGCCCTCACGACTCTAAGATTTTTTTTTTTTATTTCCCATATGTTCTTTCAGGATTTTTGTGATTTCATTTTTCACATTTAAATCTTTGATTCATTTGGAATTTATCTTGATGTAAGATGAAGTGTAGATGTAATTTTTCCCCGGTTGTCTCAACAGCATTTATTGAATAATCAACTTTCCCCACTATGATGTTACTTTTTTTTTTTTTAAGTCCTCATTTGGTGTTTTGTTTTATTTATTTATTTATTTATTTGTTTATTTGTTTATTTATTTATTTATTTTTAGCTGAGCCATCCTGCTACCTGTTGGCAGCTCAGCAGCTGCTCAGCTCCAGCTGGGACTCGAACCGCTGTTGCTCAGAGCTCAAACTCTTGAGCAAGCTCTTAACCAACTGAGCCACTCGGCCGGCCCTGATGTTACTTTTATCATAATACTCAATTCCTATATGTATTTGGTCTATTTCTGGATTTCTGTTCCATTCCATTAGTCTGGCTGTCTATTCATGCACTAGAGTTAATTACTGAAGTCTTACGTCTTAATACCTGGTAGTGTTGGTCACCCCTCATTGATTTTCTTTGTTGTCTTCCTGGCTGTTTCTGTTTTCCTTGTAGCAGTATTAGAATATTAAAACTACAAAGACATTTATTAAAAATTAATACAGAACTAAAATATCAATCAGTCTTTCTGTAATGTCTTTTTTGCATGTTCTTGGTACTCCTGCAGGTCTTTTGGAGTAGTGCTTTGGGAGCTGCTCACGGGCGAGATCCCTTACAAAGATGTAGACTCTTCAGCCATCATTTGGGGGGTTGGAAGCAATAGCCTACACCTTCCAGTTCCTTCCACTTGCCCTGATGGGTTCAAAATCCTTATGAAACAGACATGGTAAGAAATATATTTCTCTCCTAATTCTCCTTTACCTTCTTCCTCAACACCATGTTTAAAACTTCTGTAAAACTGCAGGGAAGTCTCTACTGTGTATTTGGAATCACCTAGTAGTGGAAAGACTGGGAGGCTTGGAACTATTTATAAATAATGAATTTGGTATGTTTTGAAAGAATAGGCCTTAGTAAATGATAGCTATTATTACTTTACCAGTCCTACGGGACTATTATCAAACAAGTCACTGATCCTAGAGATTTCCATTTCACTATTAGAGGTATCCCATAATTATATTTTCCTTTTGCTCTTCAATACATCAACACTGCCTGAGATACAGCCATGCATGGAATAAAAAATGTTTTTCATAAAGTAGAATAAAATATTTATCCTCCTGGACATAACTTCTGAAATGCACAAGCTGTCTTTTTTACTTTTAGGCAAAGTAAACCTCGCAACCGACCTTCTTTTCGGCAGACACTCATGCATTTAGACATTGCGTCTGCAGATGTTCTTGCCACCCCACAAGAAACTTATTTTAAGTCTCAGGTAAGTCTGGAAACTTTCTACCAGGTGCTTCGACTGAACGAGGAGATAGGGAACTACCAATGAAAAAAAAGTAACTCTTAGAAGAGGGCCATTCTGATTGTTATAACAGTTATATAACTCTATTCATTGCGAAACAACAACTATGACACCTTACACATATGACATTTTGGAGTTTTTAAAGCACTTATATATTATTATCTCATTTTAAAATAACATGTATCAATCTGATTCTCATAGTGGTTTCAAATGAAACTTGAAAAAAGAGGAAAAGAAGATATGAAAACTGTAATGTACATATACGTATTTGAATTAGAATTATTACTGAACTTCATCAAAGTATTACTTTCTTTGAAGTAGAAAAACTAAAGTACAGAGGAGGAAAGTTAAATACCAGAGAGAGTCCATGACAGAAGGAGGCCCAGAGAGAACCTTTTCTCTAATTTTATGTGTCACCTAGTATGGCACCAAATAAAATATAATTTAATGTATCTGTTAGCTTTTACTGCATTACAAACTATTCCAAAACATATGGCTTAAAACAATAAGCTTTTGTTTAGCTCACAATTTTGTAGGTTGGAAATTTCGGCTAGGCACTTCTGCTGGCTTTGACTGGGCTCACTCATATGTCTGCAGTCAGTTGCCAGGTCAGCTGGGAGGCTGGCAGGTTCCAGATGGCCTCATTTACAAGTCTGGCGATTGGTTGGCTATTAGCTAGAGTACCTCTCTTCCACATGGTCTCTTATCCTTCAGCAGGCTAGCTGGGGCTTGTTCACATGGTGTTCTCAGGGTGACAAGTGCAGCAAGAGAGCAAGCCCCAGTGCACAAGTGATTCTCAAGCCTCTGTGCACATTATGCATGCTAATGTCGCATTGTCCAGAGCAAGTCACAGGCCAACCCAGACTGAGAAACAGACTTCTTTGACGAGAGAATCTGCCATACACATTGTAAGAGCATAGCAGAGAGGGGAAGGATTTGTGACTATTAAATTAAAATGCTGTAAATGTGATAAGGATGGTCTAACCACTATCCATACAGATAGGGAGTGGTGGGAGACAAATACACTTGAGGTTCTTATCCCTACCAGACCCAGGCAATAATAAAAGGAGTAAAAGGGGATGAAACTATGGCTTTCGAAATAATGAGATGACCTTAAATTATAGCTTTTATGCCTGCAGGATTTAATTACGTAATTTCTTCTCATATAGCTTTGTCTCACTCGTTACTGTGTTTCCAAAACTAATTTTTGTAAGATGAATTCCATCTCCTCATTGACTTCCAGTATCGTTTCAAAGATTTGTTCTCAGAGAAGACATTTTATTATCAATTAATGTCTCAATCTATTCCTCATAGTCCCCTATCTCCACTGGGTGATGAGTTTACCTACCAGGAAAGTTTGTTAAGAAGAGTACTGGACTGGGAGGGACATCATACTGGGAGTTAACAAGTCCTCCAATGTGCTGTACTGCCTGCCCCAACCCGAGGCTCCGAGTACATGCTTCTCAGGTGTCTGATAAACAGAGAAATACTCTGCCCATCATACATTGGGACATATTTTAATAAAGGCACCAGGGTTTTGACAGTTTCTAAAGAATGATAAGTCAGACTCTTATCCTGTTGCCCGGAATTCCATCACACTCTTTATGACTCACAGTCTTAGTTTCCCACCCCCACAACTGTCTTTAAATAGTAAGGCTTGCCCCTATAGTGTTTCTGAGGAATTATTATGTAAGTAAAGTGTTAAGAAGATGTAGGAGGTTAACTTCATGCCATTTCCTATGTTCTTTGATATGCATTCAGATAAACTCCCTTAGAACTATTAAAACTATTGCCTGTTTGAATACATGTAGGTGTGGGGCTCTAGAAAATAAATCTGTCAAATGCCTTCTTCTGTTAGTGTTCAGAAAAAGACTAAGGCCCTTGTGTGAAGTGAAAGAGAATAATAGGGAGTGCTCTCTAGGAAGTCTGTCAAACTTGAGGATATGGTTGCAATGACAGCTTTGCTTCCTTTACATTAAAACTCTACATACCACAGTTTTGTAAATCAGTTTTTGGTGAAAATACTAAGTCACAAGCCATTGAGACAGTGTAACTGTACATAGTCGGAAAACTTCAAGTTCTAAACAGATTTTACTTGAATGCTCCCAGAATATCACTTCTGCAGCCAGCTCAGCATTCTCTGAGCCCCTGCCACATGCAAAGCGCTGTGTAGTGCAACTAAGCACCCACAGTCGGTGTCCTCACTTGTACAAACTCACTTTTAGCAACACATGCAGTGCTAAAACTGAACTCAGAAAAGAAAAGGTTCTTTTGGAGCAAGAAAATAAAAGGGAGAGGAAGGAGAAGGGAGGAGAAGGAAGGGAGGGGAAAAACTTAGTACATGGGGCATGTTTTAATTTTCATTAATTCTTTCACGTTTTTCTCTGAACATAAAATTTTACCTCTCCTTAAATAGCCCTAAATCTGCTGTCCTTGCTAGTTCCTAGAATTTTTCAGGTACTTACAAGCTGGTCTGTCTTTGGGTCTGAAATTCAGACTATCAGTGGCTGAAGATAATCAAGCGTTTGTGGACTAGCTAGTGAGGTATTAGGAAAAGCAACAGACCCTGAGATTAAACCCCTGTCCTGTGATCTTGGATAAGTCACTGAATTTCTCTAAACCTCAGCTTACTCATCTAAACAATGAAGAAATTATATCTTCCCTTCCTTGTGGAGTTTTGGTGAGGATTAAGTGAGATGATAAAAATGCAACTATATTGAACTGTTCGATTGTAAGACATTATTCACCTCCCACAAAGCTACAAAAATTAAGCCTCCTTTGGGTTATTACATTCTGGTACTTTTTCTGATGAGCTTCTGAGATGGACAAGATGGCAGCTAGGGAACTCTTCTTCCTTGTGTTTTGACATTATGCTACCCCAGTGGGGAAGAACCGGTTGTTTAGCACATGGTTTTGCTTTTCTATAGCAAAACCTCACCTCCTCCTGCTTGCTGATAAAATCCTCTTGGCATCAGTTGTCAGTCAATGGTTGTTAGCCACGGGTCTCTATCTCCCACCAAAACTTTCAGTCAAGAGTGCTGCCAAAGGCCAGCTGACTCTTTCCTGAGAGAAAACACTTCATCTGTTTCTCATCAACAGCACATGTATAAAGATGCAGCATATATAGCACAGATGAACAAAGCAACCAATTTCAGTACAATATTAGATTCGGCCAAAGCTACTGCTTCATTGCAGACAATAACCCATTTCTCCAAGTAGGCAATTAGTGCTCCTGGTATTCAATTACATTTGATACCAGCCTTTAGATAATATTTTAGCTGGGTCCCAGCTGCTCCCAAGCTCTTCCACCACCCTCTCTCTGCCTTTGCACCATTCTACTTTCCTTTTGAGGGCCACTGTGACCACCCAGAAATAAAGGGGAGAGTCAGAGCCACTAAGCTCATTATAGGGATAGATTGTGCTACCTGAAGAGTAATCTCATCACGAGTGAGTAGGTGTTTAGGCAGAGGCTGGGCATTTACCTAGGAGGCAGCAAAGTAGACTCTGCGCCAATCAAGAGTTGGACCTGACAGTGTGTTTTCTGATGCAGAGTCTATGATTTGCTAATATTTAGCCCCCAACACTCTGCTTCTCTATTCCTCAAGCGAGGCTGTAACTCATTCATGTCTTTTTCTTACTTCTGAAAAATTGTGGTAAAATATATATAATATAAAGTTTGCCATTTTAACCATTTTTAAGTGTACAATTAAAAAAAAAGTGTACAACTCAGTGACATTAATTACATTCAAAATGTTGTGAAACTATCGCCACTATCTATTTCCAGAATGTTTTATTACCCCATTAGCAAGAACTTCCCATTTTCTCCTCCCCACAGCCCCTGGTAATCTCTGTTCTACTTTCTGTCTCAATGAATTTACCTAGTCTACATATTTCTTTTAAGTAGAATCATACAATATTTGGCCTTTTGTTTCACTTAGCATCTTTTCAAGGTCCATTTATGTTGTAGCATATGTCAGAACTTGATCCCTTTATATGAAAGAGTAATATTCTGTTGTATAGATGTACCCCCATTTTGTTTATTCATTCATCTGTTAATTCAACTTTGTTTTGACATCTATATTATGGGAAAGAAGAGGAGCAAAGTTTGAGTGCAAGAGCTTCAGTCCACTGACTGAATAATTGGAAGGCTGGAGAACACAAAAATCTAAATGTTATGGCCTTTCCCAGGCCTTATCTGGGACATAAAGAGGATCCCATTAATGGTGGTAACTCAAGTTTCACGGATTTTTCCCTTACTTGCTTACACAGGACTTAAGTACCTTGTGAACCACCCTCTACTCCCTTCCTCCACCCTCACATGCATTGTGGGGGAAATCCCCATAAAGAGTGAGGGTCTCAAATAGCCTCATATTAACAACATCTGCTCTGCTTTTCACTGACTCTGGCTAGACACAGCAGTCTCCCGCCTAGCATCTGCTGGGTATGACTTTATTAGTTAGCACTGTTTTCTGCTAAAAGACTGTGGTCCCCAGCTGGCATCCATTGGACGCTGCTGTATCCTTAAGGCACAGCCGTCACCCACTGAGAGCTGTTATTTCCTGCTGTAACTGACGCTCTGGACTTCACAAGATTCCAAAGCTGCACATTGTTCTGTTTACACAATGAGCTCTTCCTTTCCCTGTTGAGTTACACTTTGTTAAAAGTAACAGAGCAGTGCTGGTTATGGCCCAATGTTTTACAGGTATTTTCGTGAAACAATGGGAAATGCCAGTCCACTCCTGTGATGGTGGCTTTGTTATAGGTCAAGTTCGTGCAGGACTCCTCCTTCCCACATCATGTGTTTTCTCTCTGAGGCTCCTGAGTCTCTGTGCAAATTGGCTTCAGGCCTGCCTACCCTCCATTTCTTTAGATATGCCCACATGTGTCTGAATTGCAGATTAAGTGCCAATTGGAACTCCTATTACATAAAGCTTCTAAGTATTATATATGCGATAGAACTCCAAAATTAACATCTACCGGTAACGTGATACCTTTGGGGAAAACACATTATTAATCAGTACCTGCTGTTTTCCCACACATTCTGTTCCCTCTTCACAGGAGAAATCTGCTTTCTTAATATGTTTCAACCTTCAAGAAGATTCTCTTTAAGTTTCCTGTTTCCCTAAACTATATATCAGGAGGCTTATATCCTGTAGAATTTAAAATAAAAATTGATCTGTGATATTTGATTCCTGACCACCAAAAGGAGGTAGTCCCTTTCCTGGTCCCTGTAAGTATTGTGCTGGAATCCACTGACACGTTCTTGCACAAAAGAGGATGCCTTAAGGCCCAAATTTGGCTCTCTCCCTTATTCTTTTTTCAATCTTTGGCTTCTTAAAGCTCAAATACTCTTCCTACTTCATGACTCTGATCTGATGATTGAGAGAACAGTATTACCTGGGGCTCAACCAAACCTGCATTTACTGCTTAGATACCGTCAAAAGGCTGTTACCAAACAATGGACAGCGCATTCTGGATCTTGGCTTTCTGAGGGTTGTTTGGCAGGTTTGGTGCCCGAAAGTCAACTGACTGACAGAAATCTTTCTCCAATGGTCAGTCAACATATATGTATTCATATATATATGAAGACCTAGCATATTAAAAACTGATAAGCAGATAATCACTTTATAAATAATTACAGTATAATTTTCTCTGTAGAAATAAATGAGAAATGGCAAATTTGGGGAGAAACCTTCTGTAATTTCACAATTGCTTAACTTCTTCCATGCTCTAGAGAGATCATTTTTAACATGAATCTAAAGGAGATCTAGAGGAAGATTATACAAGTAGAAACATTTAGTTACACATCTAGCCTTCACTGGAAATTATCTTAATCTCATTAGCTTCGTAGGATGGTGGTCTATACATAATTTGAGGAAACATCTCCTTTAGCTGTTTTTCTACAAACTGCCTATAGACTATATTCCAGCAGATATTTTCCTGCCTCCTAAAATTTAGATAAAATTGGCTTGAAATTCCATGACCTGTGGAAAGTCCAGTGTCCTAATATTTCTGTGAATTCCTAGAGATTCATAATTTCATGGCCACTCTAGCTCTGCCTTCCTAAAATCCTTGGCTCCCGTTCCTGCCATCTTGTGGTTGTTCCTTTATATTTGTCCTGTCATTGACCCAAACACAAAGTTCAGCACCATTCCTTGATTTCTAAGAAAACAAAACACACTCATCCAAAGTCAGGGTGAAGATCAAGAGACTTCACTAAAAATGTAGGAAATTGGAAGAGGCTTATATTTTGAACAACTTAAATCACATATTAGACATTCATTCCTGTCCTAAAAATTGTGTTAGACTACCTACTAAGTTGTTTAGACATACTATTTTTTTTACTCCCAAATTCCTGTATAGTTCCCTATATTTTTATTCCCATCTTCTGCTGTTCATGCCCCTTGGGCCTTCTCCTCCAAATATTTTTCAAGATATTTTTATAAACACAGCCTAAGAGGAATTCTGGTGCCAATTGTAAAGATGATCATATTCTCACTGACACATACTTGAAACGTATGGTTATTAGGACTATTCTTTCTGGCTAGTCTTTCTTAGTCACTCATCTTGACTTCCAGAGGTGATGGCTAGTATGCCAGCTGTGATGTTTCTGCTGGCCAGTACTGAAAGGAAACTGGAAAGCAGTATTGCCTGTTGGATTAAATACAAAAAATGGGGTGGGGTTGGGTATGCAGATACATTATCATGAGATATTTTGTGATGAACTAATATTTATTGAACATCTATTCTGTAAGGCTCTTCAGGAGAAATATGTAGGGAAAAAATTCTTGTACATGATCCTAAGGTCATATCAGGGATTGAAACTCCTAGAATATTAACAGTCTAATTTGTCCTTGCCCAGGCTGAATGGAGAGAAGAAGTGAAAAAACACTTTGAGAAAATCAAAAGCGAAGGAACTTGTATCCACCGATTAGATGAAGAACTGATTAGAAGGCGCAGAGAAGAGCTCAGGTCAGCTGATCTCTCCTTCTTCACCTCTTCTTATCCCCAGGTCTTCAGATATTAGCTGGAACTCTCTTTGTGAATTTCGTTTTCTATACACCCTTCACCTCTGCTATTTATTGTTATTCTCTTTAAACGTTTTCCTAAAAGTCAGCTCTCCTTTATATCACTGCCTTATCCTCTCCCCCCAACTCTGTTACCCTCCTTTATTTTATCTCTGCAACAAAGATTCCTGGAGCTTTTTGTGGAAGGCCAGAAATGTATAAGATGTAGTCCCTGGTCTCAAGATGCTTATAATCTATTAAGGGATACAAGACATGGTCATAGATGACACTATAATTAGGCGAGATATGTGCCATGGGTAAGTATAAATGAGTGATCGTGATATTAGCTCTAACTGCATATTTCCATTAACATATGAGTTGTACTGTGTCTCATTATACTGTATTCTTATTAAGATATTGCTGACACTACACACAGGCTACAAATTATACCCAAATCATATTCAGATATTATCTGTGGCCCTCCCGGCTATTCTGTATGGCTGGATGTGGTCCTTAAAAATAAGCCAAATGGAAAGCTTGGGTTTTCCATCTCCACTCCATCTTGTTTGAGTCATTGCATCGGACATAGGAGCCTTAAATTTAGAGGGCCCTGGGGCCAAGGCTTTTGCGATAAACCATCCTGGTTCTTATTTTGCTATAGCTGACCTTTGTTCTCCCCCAAGTTAGTGGGTTTCACAGATCCTGTGTTTTCTTTGATAGGCATGCTTTGGATATCCGTGAACACTATGAGAGAAAACTGGAGCGGGCTAACAATCTATACATGGAACTGAGTGCCATCATGCTGCAGCTGGAAATGCGGGAGAAAGAGCTCATTAAGTATGTAGCCAGACCACTGTCTGCCTTCATTGATCTGGGTCTGTCAATCAGCAGAAATGTAGTGCTGTGCCATGTTGCTGCTGCTCAGAACTGGCAGACATTTTATTCATTCACCCAGCATTCCCTCAGGGATGTGCTGTGCACAGGCCCCTCACCCTGGTGAGGTTTACAATTGGTGGCATTGCCACAGAGCTGGTTCTAGGGGAACGTGCACTTGACAGGCATTTGCGGCCTCACCCTGCTGAATGGCTCGGAGAAGGGTCCTCGTTTCATAAAGGAGCTTGGAGTGGATGAGTGGGAACTTATTGCCCCCTGGGGAAGTAAGGTGGCTACTGCAAGTGGTTTAAGGTATTCCTGAGAATGGCAAGAAACCATGGTGTCCTGGCCTAAACAGCAGCTGCTGAAATGGTAGGACTTCTGCCGTTGCATTGTGTGCTTCGTGAGGTGTATTGGGGAAGGGAAGGTCGGCCTCTGAGTCCATCTGTGAGCTGAGGGGGAAAATGAAGTCAGGTTAGTTTGACTTTAGTATTCTTTGGTTGTTGTTATTCCTATTTTACCTGAACAGCAGCCTTGTTATTCAAATAGCCTGTATCTGGTAGATGTGGCCAGAATCTGTGGGTAGAATTAACCTGAGAGAACAGTCTGCCTTTTTTTCTGTCTGCAGTGACTGACATGGGGCTTTTTCTTTCATTCTGCAGACGTGAGCAAGCTGTGGAAAAGAAGTACCCTGGGACCTACAAACGACACCCTGTCCGACCAATAATCCACCCCAATGCCATGGAGAAGCTCATGAAAAGGAAAGGGGTGCCTCACAAACCTGGGATGCAGGCCAAACGGTGAGTCTGAGGTACTTGTGCTGACCTGATATTCAGATAAATGGGAAAATATCCCCTTAAAAATACATTCTCAGATCATGAGTGTGGCCACTCTACCTCATCATTAGCACATTTGCCTGTAGATAAAACAGAAAGAAGGTGAGAGAAAGGGTGTCATGGACTCTAGGAATCCAGTTTTTACTGTCTGAGGTATAGCTCCTTATTATCTTAGCATGAAATAGTGAAAAGAGAAATAAACTGTGGCCAGACAGACCTGGATTCAAATTCCAGCTCTGCCTATTATAAGCTATGTGATTTAGGCCATGTCACCTGCCCTGTTTCTACCCCATGAGTAAAATGGTATAACTATAGCACATGAGATTTCTTTTTCTTTTTTTGACCCCTAATGCACAGAATTAGGTTAATCATAATTCTTGATTTATGCAACATTGGTCCACACATGGCCCACTTTTATTTATTCATTTAGTTAGTTCTTTTTAATAATGTAATAAGTGCCTGAAAATCCACCAAAATGAAAGCAGAGACTTTGATCATTACCTATATCTAACCATATGGTTCCCCTCATTCCACTCCCGCATGGGACTTCTGTGAAGTTTAAAATGAGACTATATTTGCAATCACCTAGTAAATCACATAGGTGCTCAAAAAATGGATTTTTCTTTCTTTTTGTTTTTTTCTTTAGTTGAGTCATCCTGCCACCTGTTGGCAGCTCAGCAGCAGCTCAGCTTGGGCCGGGAATCGAACCGGTGACCCTGTTGCTCAGAGATCACACTTTTGAGCGAGTTCTTAACCAACTGAGCCACTCAGCTGGCCCCAAAAAATGGACTTTTAA